TATATATATATATATTAGAACAGTCGTTATGTTAACAATTTTTGAAATATGATCAGAACACTTCCTAAAATGATTCAATATTTCACAAAAATAACACTATAACAATAGAACACAATAAAATAACAATAGAATTTTTTCAGATGTTTTTTAAACGATATTAACATACCGGGACATAATAGACGGAAAAGCATCTTTGTAAACAAAATTCAGCCGATGCTCTAATTCTTAATCAATTTTAGTTTTTTTTATTGGCTCGAAATTGAATAAGCTGTAGCTCATTCTGCACAAATTTTGATTACGATTCAAATTAAAAATGACCAATCCAATATTTGTTATCAATTTTTTTTGCTTACTTTATTGGATCATTCTGGCGAAAAAATTTCAATGCCAAAGTATGCCAAACTATTCCTAAATACACGGTTTGGAAGTAGTTGGACGTAGAATTCTACTTCTATATCAAAGTAAGCCGATTTATGCTTTTGTACACCAAACAATGCCAATTGCGGCAAACTACGTCAGAAAGTACGCCTAATTATGCCCGAAAGTACGCTTAATTACAAAAATTATGCCTAAATATGCAAATGAAACAGGAAGTAGTTTGGCGTAGAATTCTACTCCTATGCCAAAGATTTATGCTTTCCTACGCGAAACTATACCCTAAGTTTCGGGTACATTCAGGGTGCTATTTCATTTCGTACGTGCCTTGTAATCTTACTTTCCGGATAACCCTAGTACGTTTAAATTTAAACAGTACAGTGTAAAGATGATATTTCATTTGTGCGTTTTTGTCATACGACAAAAGTGTACAGAACAGAGAGATCCTCAAATCTCTCTCTATCATAGTTAATCAACAAGCTTAGTTAAGCATAGTTAAGCATAGTTAAGCAAGAAAAATTTATCGTACAACAAAAACGCACAAATGAAATATCACCCTTACACTTACTGTATTATTTAAATTTATTGAACATACGAAGATTATCCAGAAAGTAAGGTTACAAGGCGCATAGCTCTCGCAGGGAAATATGTTTTTCGAAATTAGTACCACTGCTATGTAGTGGGGAGTCAGCTGAAGCAAACGTGCCAGATGTTAGTAGTTTCCTAACTCTCATTGTGGTGAAAATTTAATATGAGCACCCTTATTTTGTCTCCCGCCAAGTACGAAGTGCGCGCTGTAATACGTTACCTGAATGCAAAGGGCATGAGCGCCCGTATACTATTATACCCCAGAGAGCAAATGACAATCAATGCAGTGGCGCCATATCCATTCTTCTTCAGCAAAAAATTAAAAACTCAGCAATCAGTTCAAAAAATCATGGCGACAGTTTTTTGGGACAAAAAAGAAGTTCTGCTCGTCGAATTTTTGTAGAAAGGTGAAATGATCAACGTGCAAGATATATATTGAGATCCTCAGGAAACTTCGCAAAGCCATACAAAACAAACGTGTGGGATGCTGATGAAGGGAGTGTGTCTCCTTCATAACAATCTCCGCATACCGTTTGTGCAAAGCAAGAGTTGTTGATCTCATTTGGTTGGAATGTTTTAAATCACCTCCCTCACAGCTCCGATCTCGCACTTAGTGACTATCATCTCTTCGCTAAATTGAAGGAACATTTGGATGGAAAACACTTTTGCGATGACGATGAAGTCGTTAATCGCGAACGGATTATGAGCATTAACGTAGTAAAATGCATGGTGGAAAGAATATAAGGTGAAGTATTCCCATGGATGCGTAGTAGGAAAGTGAAAATCGAAGTGCAGAACTGACAGAAGAGAGGTGGCGGGAGACCTCTATGAAAAAGGAATAAAAAACCTCATCCCACGGTTGACAAAATATCGAAGTAAATAGTGATTATGTGAAAAGATAATGTAATATTATATAATATAATTCCTGTAAGTTTCATTAAAATATATGCATGTATTTTTAAAAAATCTTGTAACTTTTCCGGATAACTCTCGTATTTCATTTGTGCGTTTTTGTCATATAAGTAATTTGATTGTGTCTTGAACTCATTTGGCATAAATTCAAGATGCCATCACATTGCTGTCATGATGAAACTAAAATTCCGTCGTAGGATACTTTAATATTAAAGCTCAATTTTGAGGATTCACTTTACTGCGAAATGCTGCGCTCTTTATATATTTTCTCAGGTGATTCTTATTTACGAGTTTATATCTCCGCTGTGACGCCTCTCTGTCGGCGGAGATGCATAATGCTCACGGATGAGTAAAAATAATTCCGCATAAAATGGCGTAGAATAGCCTTACTTCGTTACTACTTACTTTCGTAAATGGAAAAATTAAAAAGTGAGTATTGTACTTTGGCATAGTTTGGCATAGAAATATGTACCTCAGAAAATGATTTTTTGCAAACGAGTAGCTTGGCGTAGACAGTTATTTCTATGCCTACTATTCGATTGTAGAGTGTGATTCTGCGTAGAAAGACGTAGAATGGCATATTTTCTCTGAATACTTACGAAAAAATGAAAATTAGAGGAATTCGACATAGAAACACGTAATTCAGGAAGTAATGATCATTAATTGCAAGTACTTTGGCGTACTTTTTGTGTCTGACTAGGTTCATGTACGCCATTTTGCGTAAAATCGCATAGCATAGTTATTTCCATGTTTAACAACACGATTTTACGCCACAGTTATAAAAATAAAAAAGTGTATTTTTTTGCGTACTAATTGGCATAGAAATTTTTCCGTCAGGGCAACCTTTTTTATTTGAACTATTGTTGACATATACGCGACATGTATCCAAGGACAACTTCGATTCTTTCCCTCGATTACTTTTTTAAAACTTTCAAAAAATTCAGGTTATTTCGTCTTTACATCAAATTTAGTTATAAGCGAACATAAGGTTAGTTATGTCGTTAATCGCGCACGGATTATGAGCATTAACGTAGTAAAATGCATGGTGGAAAGAATATAAGGTGAAATATTCCCATGGATGCGCAGCAGGAAAGTGAATTTGGATAACATTTTATTGACTGTTCAAGTATAACCAGCGCTATTATACGCAGGAAAGTGCATATTAGAGAAACATTTGATTGGTTATTTCCAGTATTGCTATCGCTATTGTGCTCAATGTTTCACTTTATATTCTTTCCACCATGGAAAAGTGGTCACTTTTTAATTTGTGAAAATTCTGAAGGAAAGAATCAAAGTTCTTGGGTGTATAGCCGATCACAGAAAGGTTGCAACACTTTTTTTCGATGGGTTTCAGAATGCAGCTTTCTCACCGAATGATTGGTTCTTCATTCATGGATCTGCAAATAAAAACCAATCGCTCGGTGAGTAGATTAGAGAACTCATTGAAATAAAAGATGTTGCAACCTTTCTGTGACCAGTTATACATATATATGATATCTCACATTAGGGATACACACTAGGACAGTAAGAAGCGTGCGACAGACGGAGTATAGAGTTCCTCTAGTAAGAATTAAGACATAGGAGCGGAAGGGACGCTATTGCCAGGTGTCGGGTTCTGGCTGGAAACAGCATAATTTGACAGTCCGATTTCGCGTTCGCGCCTTCTATGCCATGAAACAGTTGCTCATGCGTCAATTCACAGATTCATTACTACATCGAAAGTATCTGTAAATGGCGGCATTTAAAGAGACTTGAAATTTGACCAATCAGGAATCCCCTCATGATTTGACTCTTACTAGAGGGATTCTAGGACAGTAACTGCATTCAGCAAATCTGAGGCGTCGGAGTGCTCTTTTTCTACAGTGCACGTGACATATGCTATAATATAAAGAGCACTCCGATGCCTCAGATTTGCATTACCGAACGCAGCTAGTGAACTAACACACCGAACTCTCCAGATCAATTAAGCACACCTTTATATTAGAATAAATACTTTTCCTATCTTTTAAAGTTATACTACTGTGGAAATTGTTTTCAACAATTCCCTTTTCTTCTTCCATTCCCGGAAAGTGAATAAGTTGTAACAACTATAATCAAAATTTATACAGAATGGGCTTTTAACTCATTCAATTTTCGAATAAAATTTTTAAAAAATCTAAAATTAGTTAAGAATTAGGCTGAGTTGACGAAAAAGCGGAAGCCAATCAGAACTCACAGAAAGACAGAAGCAGAAATGTAAAGACAAGCAAAATGTACCGCCTACTCCTACTGTGAGTTTCGATTGGCTTCCGCTTTTCCACTCCATCAAGGTGTTGCCAACTCGACCTTAGAGTGTCGAATTTCTATTTCTAAAGATGCTTTTCTGTCTATATTGTGTCCCGGTACGTAGCATGGGTTAATATTATTCAACAAATTTGAAAATTCTGGTGTTATTTTTTTTGAGATATTGAATTACTTTAGAGGATAACCCGATCAAATTTCAAAAATTGAGGGGATGGGCGGAATAAAGGCCTATTATAAAATCTTGATATTAATAAAAATAACTTGCTATTTTTTTTATTATACACAAATGGATACAATATTAAATAAATTTATAATTTATTAATGTTTTTAAGAAGTTACATATTACAATACTTTTCTATTACGATCAATCA